TAGTTGACTTTATGTAGACGCAATTTAACTTGTAATTCTTATATTCAGTATTCTCAGTGAATAATTGATTCATTAAACTAATATTCCACAATTTCTTAGTCTTAGACGTGAATGATATGAGAGAATATTTCTTTGGATATTCATAGACACTGTTGATGGATATATTTCTTCATATCGGTGATGTCATAATATTCAATTATATCTTGAATGTATTTCAATATCAATTAGATTCGGTGCCATAACTCAATATTTTCGATATTGGCGAAATGGAATATGCCTAATTGACATCTATTGTTTGCTACGTAATAGATGAGAGGTAATAACAAGTAACGGTTTTATAAATAATTCAACACAAACGGAACAACAAGTCATGCAATTACTAAATTATCCATCAGGGTACAAATGATAGTTGATCTAACGTTGGTACATCATGTAACACTGTTTTGTACTGAAATATATTAATAAATCCTCTAGGGTCGTAGATTTGCCTGACCGTCAAACATCAATTTCAATTAGTCGACGTTGAGTTGAGCGTGCAGAGTATTCAAACAAACATATATTTCCATGCTGGATCTACCTATTAAAAACCCCTAACTTTGTAAACTGGAAAGGTTGATAGATTTTCAAGAAACAAATTGGCATTGAAGTGACTGCTTCTGAGTCATTTTGAAATCAGGAACGATAGAAAAATAACTTGTGATACACATCAGGATTGTTGAAATAGTTTATGTACTTGGCAACATACTTTCATTTATGAAATGTTTGAAATTACGGTAGTTTTGAACTGAAGATGTTCAGAAAAAAAGCAGATTTGTGGAAGAATACGACTTCTACTCATAAAAAGTTGGAAAACCAATTTTTGGCTTCCTACGAGGATGGTCTGAAAAGTTTCCGAATTCAACATGAAGATGGCAGCACTATAAGATAAATAAAAGCTAGTGAATAGACTTAGAAGACGTTATGTTTTCTGATGAGTGTACTTTGTCTCGTAACGATCGTGCTAATCGGCAAAACTGCCGCTACTGGTCAAAGGAAAATCCTCACTGGATGAGAGAAGAAAACCCGAAATACCCTCAAAAGGCTAATTTTTGGGCACTACTTCAAAATGACGTTATTCCAAGTTTAGCAAATTTATATCCTGATCCAAGAAACCCTCAAGTTCCCCTGAATACGATGGTTTCAACAGGATGGAGCACCAACACATCACCAAGTTAATGTCCGGCAATACCTCGATACAACATTTCCCAATCGGTGGATAGGCAGGCGAGGATCTATTGAATGGCCAGCGCGATCACCTGATCTTTCATCATTTGATTTTTCATGGTGATTTGTGAAGACAATGTGTACAGAACTAAAATATCAGATTTGAAAGGCTCAAAAGAACGTATAACGCTTGCGATTGGATTGGTCACGCTTGATATGTTGAATAATGTTGGAAGACAGTTTCATTTGAGATTAGGATGTTGCCAAAACGTTCGTGTTGAACATTTTGAACATCTACTTCGATAACATCCATAGTTCTTTTTCGTATTCTATATTTCATTACGTTTTACATTACATTTTAGTTTTTGAGTGTATTTTATTGAATTTCGGTAACCTCATAATTTCAATTTATTTTTTTTTCAAACGATATATCACAAACCTATACTTCCCATTTGAAAAATTGGGAGTTGTANAATATTATTGTAACGTCTGAAAATGTTATTGTACACCGAAACAGGTGTCGCGGTTTTGTCAAATGTGTTTTTTAAATAAATTTCTAACGATATTGCCACACCTAACTACAAATTGATAAAACTAAAGGAAATAAGCATGATGTTTGAATCCGTATTTTTCCAACCAGCTTAAAATAGAATTTGTGTCCTTTATGTTCAACGAATGCAAATCAAAAAGTATGCGGGTATCACCTTCAGCATGTAACTGATTACTTGCCAGCCTCGATCACTGATTCCAATATTCCGTTTCAAACAAGGCGATACTAATTTTTAAATAATTTCTCGTCACCTAGAAATACAATGAAAATTCAAAGTTAAGCGAAACCCTGAATTATGTCTTTTATATCGAGCATAAAAGGAAATTGTCATTGTAACCGTAGCACTGCTTCATTCTTGATATTCCCGAGAAAATATCAACTCATAGAATTCAATGATGATAATAATAATATTGCCTTCATTATTTCATAACGACAACAAAAAACATAACATAACTTGTATATTCAACTTATAATTGAAATAAAGGGCGAAGTTGATCGTCTGTAATAAAATACATCACGGAAAATGTTCTTCC